AGTGTGCTGGAAAGTCCACGCTGAACGTTCTCACCTTTCTGGCGTCCATTTCTTCCTTGATGCGATTGCAGAAGGGGACGACGGCTTGCTGCGAATGAGCTCCTCAGGAGTGACAGCTTGGAATTGATCGAGGCGATCAGGGGCGGTCCCCCCCTCAAGAGCGAGGATGTCGTCTATCGCGTCAAAACTTTCCTCGTCCTCCACTGTACCTTCGGCCGGTTCGGCCGTAAAGCAAGGGATTTCGTCGTCGATTTCGTCGACGGTTTCTCCTGCGGTCCGCAACCTTGACAAAGCGTCCGCCTGGCTGTTAGCCTTTCCCTTTTTGTACTTGATTTCAAAATCGAATTCCGACAGGCGTAGCCTCCATCGGATTAATCTCCCGCGGGGGTCGGTTACGTTCATCAACCACCTCAATGAGGCATGGTCGGTATGCACGACGAAGTGCTCGCCATATAGATATGGTCTTCAAGTCTGTACGGCCCAAATTACCGCTAGACATTCTTTTTCTGATACAGAATAGTTTCTCTCGGCTGCGGCTAACGTTCTTGAAAAGAACCCGATGGGTTTGCGTTGCGCATCCGAGTGTGTTTGAAATAATGCAGCGCCTATTTGGTAGTCGCTTGCATCGGTATCTACCGAGTAGGGTAGGTCCTTCTTCGGCAGCGCCAACACTGGCGGTGCCAAGATGGCGTCCTTGAGCTTATGAAAAGCTTTCTTGCATGGTTCGTCGAATCCTTCCAACTGGACCGGTTGTCCTTTCTTCAGTAGTTGGTTTAGAGGCCGCGCGATTTTCGCATAATGCGGAAGGAACCTGCGGTAGGCGGGGGAGAGGGAAGTGAGAGAGGATTTGTGGGGGAATGGGGAAGGAAACAAGTCGTCAGAGGGGAACGGGGGTGGCGCTGACCGGGGGAGGGTGAGAAAGGGGTCGCGGTGGCAAAATACGCGTTGCATGTATGCGTCTCCACGAACTAAAAGTGTACTAAGGGTTTGCGTGTGAGGGCAGTTGGGTCGTCTTGAGTCTGGAGACGTGGTGGACCGAGCGTCGCGGGGACAGGCTGGAGAAGGGGCTGGAGAACGGGGGGGCACGGGGGAACGAGCTACGGTACATGGCTGTCAAGGATACTGTACACGAGATAGCCGCGCGTGCGCCGCTGGCCCAATGCTCTGCCCTTCCACCGCCCAGTCCACGGCCCGGTCCACTGCTCAGTCCACTGTCCAGTCCACCGCCAGCCCGCCGGACAGACGCGCGACCGCCCAGAACCCGTGCGCCATAACGACCCCTGCCAGCGTTGCCAGCGTCACTAAAAACACCATACCTGCCCGTAATGTCTTACTCTTTCCACAGCCCCAAGTGTCTTACTCCTTTACACAGCCCCAAGTGTCTTACTCATTACACAGCCCCAAGTGTCTACGCCACCATCGCTGCCCTCTCGCGTTCCCGCCCTGCCCGCCCCCCTCTTACCCGCACCATTCCCGAACCGCCCGTCTAGACTCTCTTCCCGTTTCCAATCCACACCGACTCACCGTCTCACCGTCTCGGCCTCAGCGTCCTGATCGTACGCTGCGCCCTGTCGAGCAACAAATCGCGATCCACCTTATCTTCCACGCGGTCCTCCTTCCGCCTCCCGCCTCGCCCCCCGCGCCCCCTTCCTCGCGCGCCGCGCCGATCGCGCCTCTCCCTCTCCAGCTCGAGCGCGACCCCGACGACGCGATCCACGGTGACCTCGGGGCACCCACCTCCCGTGTGCCCCGCCGCGCCGCAGTTGTAGCAGCTCATTTTCGCCCGGCTAGGCGCGCCGAGCCCGCAGTCGAGATGCCCCTCCGCCCCGCACACGTAGCACACCAGCCGCGGCTGCCGCGCGGGGCTGACGCGCCGGTACTCGCGCCGCCGCCGCACCCCCCCGCTGCGCCCCTTGTCCGGGCAGTTGCGCCGCTGGTGCCCCGCCTTGCGGCAGATGAAGCACACCTCGGCGGGACATTTTCGTCCCTGGTGCCCCGCCTTTCCGCACATGTAGCACTTCTTCTCCGCCTGCTGCTCCGAGCAGTCGAACGAGAGATGCCCCTTCGTCCCGCAGAACTCGCATACCACTTTGTCCA